CCAGCAGTTGATCTATCTGCAAGTGCCACCCAGCCATGGCTAAACACAATACCATTGGCATGAAGTTGAACTCTTTAAAGAACACTGCTCCCACACATCCAATTTGTGTTCAGTTATCTCCACACAGAGGAGAAGGGAGTTTCCCCCTTGCCTTTGTTAACTGGCCTCTATTAACAGGAGGCTGATTAACGCTTCATCTGAAAAGCGAGCGTGTCAAAGCGCATGATCCATAGGAATGACAGTTTGGGTGCAGTGATGAAGTCTGACCAGTCTGGCTGAGAGCTGGGAATAGTCCTGTGGCCTGGAAACAGCTCAGATACCATTTACAATAAATCTGAGTTCCTGATGTCAAGAGTTTCTGGCCATTTCTGCCTTCAAGAGATCATTACAAAGCAAAAATAGCTTCTCGGGAAAGCAAACACTCTCTGTAGGACTGCGGGAGCTGATGCTGTCCACTGCTGCCAGCAGGACTACAAACAAGGACTACAAACCACATCAACAATTGTTCCCAGTTACAAGGTGACTAAAGCACTTCACTGGGGTACTTGAGATAACATGAAATTTCTGATAAGGTGCCCATTGTAGTCTTAAAAACCAGGCTGTGGTCTCCACCTTAACAGTTCTGCATGTTACACAAAGCTTGGCTTAATTACCTGACCTTTGATATGCACTTGGTCAGCAACAACATTAACTACAGACAGAAAACAACTGGAAAGAAACCGCTGTTCCTCTAAGATGTTTCACAACCATCATGGGGATTTGCACATGAAAAGGAATATCCATTTTCACTGAACAGAAGGATTGTGTGAAGGTGACACAGCATCCTACAATTCCTCTTGCTAAAGGAATGTATTAAACCACACACACTAGTGCTGCAGGATGCCTGCAGCAGGGAAGTGTTGTATCAAATTAAACCATCCCTGTGACATATGCCTCATGACTGATACGAATCCTGGTATGAATCCCAACAGGCAGCAGGAGGAGGATCACCCATGAACCCTTTTACTCCCTGCTGGGATTTTCAAACTCATAGAGGTCACTGCTCAAACTGCTTCGGGCACAGTGTGTGCCACAAGCGCACCCGGGAGACACGGTGCGGTAATGTCTTACCTCAGAATGAAGATTTAGCTTTAAGACCCATGTGAAAGACTGGTTGGCTGTCTAGATAAGCTGCCAAAAAGGGCTCTTTTCTGGACCTTTGCTGCCAGGGGGTCAGAAGTTGGACTGATCTGGCACAAACGAAGCTTGAGTTGAAGCCTATGACTGACTTGTGAAAGACATCCGGGCCTCAGCTGCCCCAGCCTCACTTGTTTTCAGTGCTGCTACTTGGATCCTCACACTAATATCCTACAATGAATTTCTGAGCAACCAGGAGTTATTCCTGATTTCAAACACCCAAACCCCTGTGCATTAAGAACAGAGCAGGGAAAGGAACAGTGTTTCTCAGATATGGTCTAAGGCATGGTACAGCACTTGGGTTTCGCTGACATAGCTGCATCCTGCAGAGATGGGGAGAGAAAACCCCATCACCACTGCCAGCTGCAGGAGAGATTTTCCAGATAAAACCTATTCATTTGGAGTGCAACAATGAACTGCCACAAGTCTTACCAACAGCTTGAGGGAATCTGACAACTTAAGAAGCTGAAAATTAATGCTATTGTGTTTGGGGTTTTCAAGGGCATCTCAGACAAGCTCCACAGAGAGGAGATACAGATAAAACTGAAATCCCACCTGCATGGAAGAGAGTCCACTAAATGGGATACATTCTTTGCGCGATTCCTTGTGTCTGAGGAAGCTTGTGGAGTGCTAGCAAGTGCAAAGTGATACAGGTAGCTTTGAAAATATAACAGAAGGTAACATCAGCCAGTATTTGTAAAAAGCCAGATACAACTGTTTGAGTTCTTCTCCATCAAAATACATTAAATATAACTGAATTACACCTTGCAGTTCAGTCAAACTTATGGTAAATCTCTGAAAAGAGAGCTGGACAGAACTCACCCAGTGGGAAAGGAAGAGAGGCTGAGTGCCTCAAACAGGGTGAAATAATCTAATTGCAAATATATGTGGTGCAAAAGACATCTCAAACTGTTGTACATGCAGTCTAGTATTTCAAAGAGTTATTTTGACAAAAGTTTAAAATGGCACCTGACGAAGAAAATCACATTTTTTGCCAAGTTTGTTCATGTGCTTCACAAAAGGCAATGCTTTATCAAGACACTTGGTGTCTTCACTGATGGAAAGCTAAACAAGCCAACACAAGACTCACACCACCTCTCAAAGCTGACATGACCCTGTCCAGCCTCACTGAGATTTTATCACTATAAATGAAGTTCAAGTAATCACATTTCCCCCACTCTAAAGCAATATTTTAGGCTGAACTGCTGAAGAAAAAAAAAAAATCAATTCCTCTTTCCCTTCATTTTACCTATGGTGGTAGAACTTACTAGCAAATTACCCACTGAAGCTTTGAGAGCATCCTGCTGTATGCTCTGGACTACCATTGATGTTTATGGACTTGTGCTTCGGGTGGGAGTTGTTCTACAGCAGATACCACAAGTTTTAGATGACGACACAGGGCAGTTGCCTCCAGATATCCCATGCCCATGGCACGCTTGAGAGAGCTGTATGAATTCTCAGGAATGAGCAACAGCCTCTTTGCATCATCCAAATCCTGCCAGAACACTGCTGCCAAAAATATTACCTTTTTCAGGATCTCACCACTGGGAAGACTCATGATACGGAGAAGCAGTGTCACCTAGACTTCTGGGAAGCTTGTCCACTCCCAGAATAACATTACACAGAGGAGGATTTCCCTCCTACCTCCCTTCCTTTACTTGTGGGGAGAGCATTAAGCTTCTGTACCACAATGTCTAATTCCCCAAACATGTAGGGATATCAGCACAGTTACTCTCAGATTTAAAGCTCCATCTCAGCTTCAAGGAAAGATGAAGAAAAGGAAGTTTCTGAGTACTGCATATATGCTCTGGCTTTCAGCTGCCTGGAACACTAGTCAGTCTGAAGTCATTATACTGATATGGAATAGGAATGTAAACAAAATCAAGCCTTTGAGATATGGTTGTCCAGTCTGGATGCCTTTCTCAGAGGCAAACTCCACAAACAGATGCAACTGGAATGTGTCAAGGTTTCAGGTAGAAGAGCAATCATGGTTCTTGTGGGAATTAAGGGTTTTCAGAACTAACGAAATGCTACTGATTTGTCTGCATAATCCCTGCTTATAATAGGGCAATGATTTCATGAGCTACTGTTCTACATCAAATCTGAGGTCATCAATGTTCCCTGTGAGCAGATATTTGATATTACTGGCTCAAGCCAGGTACTGATGCCAGTGGCACACAGTTCTACAGTACACCTCAGTCAGCTCTGGGCCTCTGAGGAATTGCATCAAACTGCAAACCTATCCTGTGATACAGACTTGCATCCATTTAGGATGGTTTGAAATCATTACATTTTCATTTTTACCTAATAACAGGACCTGAATCCAGATCTTTAGAGGTAAAGAGCTGAGGAGTTAATCAATCAGATACATTACTTCACCTTGACTTGTCTTAAACAAAATAAGAGTAAACAACTAAGACCTGCACTCACGTGCACCACTTAGTAATTACTAAAAACCACTGAGCCCAGCAGCAGTTGTGTTCTAACTTGGCTCCTGCATTAGAATTTGCCTTAGGAATCCTAGAACAACTGAAAAACTAGCTGATTAATGACAGTCAACCATTCATGGTGTCCAAGAAGCCCCACACCTCCAAGAGAGAGATCTGGAAGGTTTCAGAGCACAATGGCTGATTATTGAAGGTATTGCAGTGGCTGGTTCTTCCGTGGTTCAGATCTGCATCGAGGTAAAGAGCCTGGCCGTCACCACCTCCTGCAAGGAGACAAAGACAAGTGTAAGCGGGTCTCTGCGCTTCTTAGAATGCAAAACTGCTGTAACAAAAAAAGACTTAAGCGCTTTTCTCATGGGAACAACTGGAAGCCCTAAGTGATGTTTGCTTGATGTCTTCAGGTATAACAGGTATGATCTAATGCACAGCTTTTACATGACACTATCAGAACTGGATTTCTTTCTTTTTTTTTTTTAATCAAAAAAAGAAAAACAGTAATGCAAGCCAGTAAGAACAAGACTCAAATGCCTCAGTTTCAGATTTGTTTTTCAGTGCTGGAGAATGTTGGAAGTTACCAACTATGTATTTTCCCTCCAGTAAAGAAAAACTAAAGAATTCTGTTGGCAGTCAAAAATCAAAGCTGGGAGAAGAACAAAATCAGTAAGCGACAGCATGGGCCTAGTCTCCTAAATAACTGTAAACCACATCAGAGTTAAAAGCATCTTGATTATCTGTGGGTCAGCATCAAATTTCAGTCAGAGACTGCAGTGGAGTGAAATAAATTTAGACAAAAATGTCAGGAAAACATAAAGGAAGATTCTCCTATTGCTTATAGGGCAAGTAACTAAAAATAGCTCCCCAAAACATCTGAAGAACCAAAGGGGTGGAAATTCTGGTCTACAGCTGGAATCGTGTACAACGTTTGTCTCTACATATCTACTACCTAAGCCTGTATTTCTCTTATTACTACCCATAGTGTAATATATGGTAAATACAAGTGACTCTCACTTCTAGTGGGAGGTGTCCCTGCCCATGGCAGGGGGTTGAAACCATATAATAGGTCCCTTCCAACCCAACCCATTCAATGATTCTATGACTCGTATCTAAGGCTGATGGGAAGAGTTGGTGGGATGTATGCTCAACAGTAAAGAACTCCAAAATATCTGTGATAGATCACTAACAGCCATTTCTACTTCAGTTACACATGCACTGAAGCTCTTGTTATACTCAAACAGCCCATCTTATGTTTGATTAGAGCATGTGCTGCTAAATGGGACATCAGCCAACACTTGATGTTAGAGGAGATCACCGGGCTAGGTGCTCTCCTAGCAAGTGTCCAAGTAAAGCTTTTTAGGAAAAGAACAAATATGATTTTATACCCGTTCCTTGTAAATCCCATTTAGGTGACTACACTACTAATTAGGCTTTTGCCAAAGTCAGCAGCAGCACAGATCCAATAAAGTTCCAGGAGAATGAACATGTTCTATAGTTTACCCCATGTTTCAAAAGCCTCAGGGCAAAGTAAATTCCCCTTCAAGAACTACTTCTCATCATGAATTAGGCAGTGTGAAGGTATGGCTCTGCCCAAAGCTGTGAGTTACTATCTTCCTCTAAAGTTCCTGATATGCAAGTTTTCCCACAGAAGATTTCTGTTGGGTAAAAATACCAGGTTTTGGCCACTTCTATCTCTAACTGTAGTGATACTGAATTACACATATGGTAAATACAGGCAAACTTTCGTATCTAAGGGAAGAGCTGGTAGGACATATGCTCAAATTCTTACACTGACTTACCTATAATGATGCATTCGCTGCTGCCAGCCATGAACATGGAGGCTGTTTTGGAAGGCAACTTGAAGTGCCGAGCTGATAAGAAGGGAGAAAGGTGATCTGAGGAGTGTGATGGGGCACTGCTGGAAGTGAGGGTGCTGGAGCTTGGTGAGGTGTGATTTTCTGTCTCTGACCCAGGCTTGGCCAGTTCTGGGTGTTTTATGATCACCCACTCGTAACGTTCCACTTCTGGCTTCAGCTGCATAGGGGCAGAGAAGAACACTCTAGTTAGTGAACATGCACGACACAGAGAACTCTGCACAGCAAAGAACGCTCCAGCCCCTCAGACTTCGCACAATTAGTAGTAAAGATCGGATCAAACTGGGATCCCTCATCCCTAGCAGTGTTCAAGGCCAGGCTGGATGGAGCTTGGAGCAACCTGGTCTAGTGGAAGGTGGCTCTGCCCGTGGCAGAGGGTTGGAACTGGAGGAGCTTTAAGGCCCGTTCCAACCCAAACTAGTGTGGGATTTTATGAAACTGCCTTTTAGACTAGATTTTTTTCTTTTTTATATCTTTGGTTTTTAGGTGACCGAAGGAACAAGGCAGTGTTTTCTAAGCTACCTTATTACATCTTTTAAGAAACTAATCTGCGCAAGGGGAGAAAAAGGGTTACAGAAAACTGAGAAGATTTTCTCCTTCATATTAAGAGTTCAAGAGACTTTGTAAACTAGGAGGGCATATAATCCAGCCTCTTCAAGTGGAAGGGAAATAAGAGTTACTCACACCATTACAGTGGTCTGCTGTGCCAATGGGTAATTCGATGAAATTTTACTCACCCTAAACACAAAGCATTCCCCAGTTCCAAAGAAACTCAGTGTACTCCCTCCTCGCCTGCGCTCGCTCCAGTCGGTGGACAGATAAGCACCGCAGACCTAGCACAAACAGCTCAGTCAGGAGGCTTTCACTGAAGGAGAAAGTCTGTTAAACGAACTGATGCCAATGTTTTAGAGTCCAGAACTGAAGGTTTGCTTTTAGCTTGATTTTTGAAACCTCTGTATCAGTGGATTAAGTCAGCACAAGTATTTATATCTAAAGATAGATTTAAACTGCTTTAATCCACTGGTGGGTACCCTTAAATCCCAAGAGTTTCATAAATTATTTCATATCTCTGAGGCCTTAAAGCAGAAATGATCCAACATAACCCAGGTACCAAACCACAAATGCCTCCAAAATTGTAAGGCCTCACTCTACTTCCTCATTTTGGTATCCAAAGCAACAGTACTGTCACAAGTTACAGTATGAGCTCTTCTGCCTGAATATTTTCTGGTCATAAAAAGCAGTTTTGGTGGCTTTCTCCAAACTGGAGGTTATAACCAGCTTAGCTAAGTCAATGCTGAACTAGCTCAGATATTTAAAGCAACCTATTCAGACAGCATGAGGCTCACTAGTTTCTAATAAAGAAAAACATCTTTGGAGGGCTGAGCTTTTCTGTGGAGTCTTTTGTTTGCACTAGAAGAATTTCTTGCTACCAGCAGTAAGCATCATTGCCAAGTGGACACAGACCAAACAAGGAAGCTCTGAAAATGGGATGAAAGCAAGCTTGCAGCAGGGTTCTTTTCCAGAAACATTGGTTAAACGAAATTGTTCTCAAGTATGCTTGCTGTTAAGCCCCCAACAGCATTACAAGCAGAGCTCCTAGGACAGAATTACTGAAGAGCAGGTTTTTCATAGAGGAAAATCATGTGCATAAACAAAAAGATGCCCAGAACTCTGTTTGGTCCAATATGCCTGAGCATGTGAGAGCTGGAAGATGAGAAGGCAAATTTTCTTCTTTCTAAAAATGTAACTACAGGCATATGAATAAAGGATAAATGTAAAAAACCAAAACTCACAAGCAAAACCACCACATTTTTCTTCCACTTTTTTTTTTTGTTTGGAGTATCTTTGGGTTTTTTAGGGGTAAGAAATGAACCATACTATAAAACCCAGCACCACTTACATGGCTGGACTTCTGACAGCTTCCAGGACAAGAAGCAAAACAACAAATTAATATTTTCCCTTTTTGTAAGTCACTGGCATGTCAGCACAGACCTGGGATGGCCAGAAACCACACATGGGCCTATGTAACTGTCTGGAGCATTAGCATTAGGTAGATGCAAGTAAGAGGAGAAATGGGCTTGTTTTGTTGGCAGTGATCCTGCAGGAACGTAAGCAGAAGTATAAGCCCAGAGGCTGCAATAAAAGCCCGAGATTATATACAGAACATGTGGAACTCATGCCCAGTGGCGCAAACAACCAATGCTCATTACAAGAAGCTCTGGGCACCTCTTGGGAGGCTCTGGGAAGCTTTCTTGATTGATACATTTTTGTTTTTTAAACAAGCATGAGATAAAGCTAATGTTTTACATTGTGTTGTCCAATACTGTCACACACCGCAAAGCAGACAACCAGCCCTCATTAGATAAGGCACCTGTGTGCACTCCTCCTCAGGTTCTCAGAGCTTCTGTGGTTTATTCTGTTTTTTCCAAACAAGAATAAGATGAAGCTAAAGCTTTTGTTTCCACATTATGTAGTCCAGTATTATTCATACTATTTACATGTGGCTGCTGCTTTCTCTCCTCATATCCTAGAGAAAATGAAAGTATCTTCTATGAATCATGAGTTTCTTAACACAATTCCTCAGCCTCTCCCTCTGAATCTGCAATGAAGAGTCTGTCCAAGAGCAAAATGAGTTACTCTGGTCCATCATCCCACACTGCTTACCAGAAAAGGAACAGCTGACCAAGACCTTGTTTACAAGATTTACCCATGAAAACATAGTCCCATAACAATAAATGGAACCATTTAAAACAGGTATTGTTAAAAAAACCAACCAAACAAACCCCAAACCAACCCCCTCCCTTCCCCGAGCAATTTCAGGTCTCTTGCGTCTTCATTTTATTATTAACTGTGGTGTGTTGCAATACAGCATTAAATAAGTACCTAAACCCTAAACAAATCAGTTGTCTTTCACCTCACTCACCTCTTTTGCTGTGGTCTTGATGAGGAGAAGAGTTGGTTCATGTCCCTCACTGTGAGAATAGAACCTGAAATGCAAAGTACATGAAAATGAGCACTCAACTACCACCACCTGCAGCTCTGCTCTTCCTCAAGGTCAGGCACCTCCTCCCCCTCCAGCTGATGGCATGGCAAGAAAGCCACCTGAAAACTAAGCATGTTCCTGCAAATGCTTTCTATAGTCCCTTGTAAATATGAGTTGAGTGTAAACAAGCATTATCAAGCAGTTCTCCTCTATACTCTGTTCTCTGTACAGTTATTTATGCCTTTTGCAGAATAACTTGAAGACTAGCTATCACAACAGGGGCATTTCACAGCATTTGGAGTGAAGACAACCTAAAGGAAGTTGTGTCCTGAGGACTGATGGCTGTGTCTGAAGAGCTTTTGGCTTTCATAGAAAATAATTATGATGTGTTCTCTTTGCTTGCTTCTGCTTTTTCCCACAGGCACATGGGGCTGGCACAGCAGACCACTCCCCACATCACCACCTCGATTGCAGGTGTCAAAGTTGTTATTAGGAGCTATAGGATTATAGTCTTACGTGTCAAGTGGAAGGAGAACTCACATCTAGTTTATCCCACCTTAAAAATAACAACAATCCGATTCATTGGTAGAGGAATCACCAGTTTCCATTTCCCTTATTCTTTGGATCAGTTGTGGTTTTCTATCAGAAGAACCTGCAGAGTAGCTGCTGAATTAAACCATTCATACCCAGTGGGGAATGAACCAGTATCAGACGAGCACATTCTGTGAACTGATGGACGTTCGACTTTTCCAGTTAGTCCTAGACAGCTTAAAATGGCTTGCTATGGCCTGGTATATGAAATTCCTTGGTCAAATGCTGTAGCCAATAGGAGGAATTTGTCACATCTACTTTCCATCTCAAATAATACTCACCAGATCGAGTTCTGATGAGGCATGGCCTTTTTGTCAATCCGGTGAACAGTTCCCCTCTTGCTCTTTTTTGCCCTATAGTAGAGAGGAACAGGGAAGGTTTTTCCTTACCTGCTCAGACTACAGCCATGTTCCGAAGTAGTGAAAAGCAAGAGGGGCTGGCAAAGTGCAAACCGCTCCGGGATCCACGACCAGATATCTCGCATCTCCTTCACGCTGACAATTTCAGACTTGAAGTTCTCGGCATGAACTGCTAAATGCACATTCTGCCTGCAAAATACAACACAAAACATTGAGAAGTAATGATTTATCAACAAAACAAGTGTCAAACTACTGAACAGTAACATGCAAAGACATGTTACACTAAATGAATGCTACATGAACACTAAAATGTTCACTGCAATGAACACTGGAAGACCCTAATAAATATGCTGTTGTTCAAAGCTCCAGCCCATGGGATTAAAAGGCCATAACCTAGTGAAGAAAATAAACTACTGCAGTTTAACATAATCCTCAAGAGGTAATGATCTGGCCTTAATGAAATATCTGGAGCATTTCCTCTGTATGACAGCTGTGGCCTGCACCTTTATATATAGAGGACATAAAATCCCAAACTGGTTTGGGTGGAAAAGGACCTTAAGCTCATCCAGTTGCAGCCCCTGCCACGGGCAGGGACACCTTCCACTAGAGCAGGTTGCTCCAAGCCCCTTTGTCCAACCTGGCCTTGATCACTGCCAGGGATGGGGCAGCCACAGCTTCTCTAGGCAACCTGTGCCAGCGCCTCAGCACCCTCACAGGGAAGAACTTCTGCCTAAGAGCTCACCTCAGTTTCCCCTCTGTCAGGCTAAAGCCATTCCCCCTTGGCCTGCCCCTACAGGCCCTTGTCAGAAGTTCACAATGGTGAACCCAGAAAGCAAACCACCCGTGCCCCCACCCCAAGGGGTCCAATACAATTGTAAGAACTGCTTCATGCTTATTATTACTCGAAGGTAATAATACTACTAATCACCATCATCATTTCAACCAGCCTTCATTTCTCAGATTAAGTAAGCACAGACCCAGAGCCTGGGGATTACATCAGTGTTATTGCAGCCACGGCTGACGTTAAAGACATTTAAAATGCAGAAGGGACAGCCAAGTACAAGTGTAAATGACACAGGAACTTACACAAGACTCCATTACTGGGCAGCTGTGAGTTACAAGAAGCTTTACACAGCTTGCTCTGCATGCAGGGGTTCAGTTGCAAGTATCTTCCAATTTTTTTTTTTTTTTTTTTGACAATCACACAATTCTTTCCTCTCAGTTTCACAAAGCATGAAGAGGATCTCAATGCTACATATCTGCATGTATCTGAATTGCTTGCTAACTCACTAAAACACACAAACTTATATGGGTTTTCTTATCTTTCTTGTCTGTAGTACCAAGAAATCAGCAGCATTTGCACTGCTCTTTACTGTGGTTCTTGCTTGGCACTGCTTTAGTGTCAGCATTGTTAGTGCAGTGCTTCCTTAGGTCACTTAGGAAAAAAAAAAAAGAAATAAAATGACTGCTTTCTCTAGCAAAATGAATAAAGCCACTACTTGCATTGCTGCCCTGTGTTATTTAATTAGGAAGGAACTTATGTGAACACCTATTTAAGCAAGCTGCAACTACTAACGGGTTTTAAAACTTGCATTATCATTAACTAGGATATTATTTGTGCTTTTAAATAGAGCAAGCTGAGGCCTGGGGGAGATCAACTGAACAAAATATGAGCCAAGTCTTGAACCCACATCTTTAGAATCTTACTTTAAGTCTCAGCCCTCCTTGTCCTGTCTGGTCTGGAGTTAAAGGTTGGTGGCTCTAAGGAAAAGAGCTGAGAAACAAAGCCTTGGTTTCCATTCAATCAATCCACAAACATGCAGGGCAGCCAACTAGTTTATTACAGTGGCTTTCTGGAGGAAAAGTAATGATGATAAAAGAGGCAAACCTCATAATTATTCATACGCTTGCTCTATGCATTTTCACACTGATGTGATCTGTTTGGGCAATTAAATTTAAGTACTTGTTCGTAAAAGACTCTAAATCTCAGTGTACCTTTTCTTTTTCCTCTGTTCCTTCTCCTGGCTACTGTGAACTGCTGATTTAAGGACTTCCCTACCCAGACCCCACTCAAAGCCTGCGTTCAGCAGCATTCATAGTAACACACCACCTTCAGTAACCTATGTCTTCCTAGAACTTTTCCATGCAGGTAAAGTATCACAGAATCATAGAATCAACCAGGCTGGAAAAGACCTTTAAGAACATCAAGTCCAACCATTCCCCAGCACTGCCAAGGCCACCACTAAACCATGTCACTAAGGGCCTCGTCTACACGGTTTGTGAACACTTCCAGGGACAGTGACTCCACCACTGCTCTGGGCAGCCTGTTCCAATGCCTGACCACCCTTTGGGGAAGAAACTGTTCCTAGTCTCCAGTCCAAACCTCCCCTGGCACAGCTTGAGGCCGTTTCCTCTTGTCCTGACAGTTGTTCCTTGGGAGAAGAGACCAGCCACCTCCTGGCTCCATCCTCCTTTCAGGCAGTTGTAGAGAGCGATAAGGTCCCCCTGAGCCTTCTCTTCTCCAGACTAAACCACCCAGTTCCCTCAGCCATTTCTCATCACACTTGTGCTCCAGGCCCTTCACCAGCTCCGCTGCCCTTCTCTGGACCCGCTCCAGCACCTCAATGTTTCTCTTGGAGTGAGGGGCTCAGAACTGAACACTGGATTTGAGGTGCAGCCTCACCAGTGCTGAGTACAGGGGGATGACTACTGCCCTGGCCCAGCATGGCCACGTTCTTTCAGCTTTATCAGCTATAGCTTTTTCAGCTGTATCAACTTTACAACCAGATCTTTTGAATCAACTAGAAAGCATTCACCATGGTGTTAGCTATTTAAGACTATTCCTGTCTCCTGAATGTCACAGCAAATCATTTATATTTAATATCACCATTGAGTTACTAAATGCACAGCATAGCTTGACCAAAGGATTCGAAATAAAATGATTTGCCATTGCTCAGGCATAAGCCACAGATGCAGGTGCAGGACTGAAACCTGTGTTGAGACAAGTGTCAGTACAGCCTGCACCTACACCACCCCAAACCGTGCTGCTTCACAAAAATACAAGGGTTTTTTCGGAGGGAGGTCAGAAAATGGCAACCAGAGTTGCAAGTGTCTAACCTGTATCTATCCTTTCATTTTGGACAGTATTTCTCTAACAACACTGAAAATCATATACTTCAGTTGGGTAGTTGCTGTTCAGAGCAGTAAATGAGTGAAAATGAACAGCACACAGTTTGGCAAAGAAAAAACCACAACATTTTGGTTTGTGTTGGTTAATGATTCACCACTCCAGAGGCCTTTCAGGGTTCTCTAGTAAGAAACCAGCACTTTGAGAGGACACTAAATTTGGACGGGCACTGTATTAAGGTCCACCCCTAGAACTTAACAAAGTCACTAATCTTTTACCCTGAGTTAGCATTTTCCACAGCTCTTCATGTTGGCTTATTGCGATTGGCATGACAACTTGCTATCAAATGCTGATGTTGGAAAGATGTTCAACTTTATTATCCCAAAGGAAATTCAATTTAGAGAAGAATCACAATTTAGAAGCTTAATAAAGCAGCTTATTTGCTATTTTCATAGGAACGTTGTTTTTTCATCTACATCATTAAAACATTGTGCTCCAGAGACCTCAGAGTTCCTGAAGATAAGCCAACACTGCTGATGTACAGTAACTGCTGTCACAGTGGATATCTCTCTGGAATGCCAAGACAACAAATATCACACTCCAAGGTCTGACTCACTGAATTACATCTTCCTGCTTTGCTTTGTTTTGGGTTAAATATGATCTGGTCAGCATTATCTTTAAAATCCATTATAATTTCAGTTAGAGCATAAATACATGGCACAAGTGATATGCTGACTGTCAGTCATACATGGCAATAGAAGCCATATGTGGTGCATTAAGTCTGAAACATAATCTTGTGTTGAGATCACTGTCAACAGACACCCTGCACCTAAGTCCCCTCAAAACTATGTGCTTCCTCGCAGAAATCAAGGCTTTCTGCTTTCAGAACCTTGTAACTGCAGTAAAATATTACATGGACACTGAAGATTTGCTTGGCTGGAATTAACAGCCTGCTGATTTCTTAGAGGTAAAATCCTCAACACACAGAGTATGATATGAAACATGCTCTGATAAGCCTGTTAAGGTGTTATTTCAGACATGAAAATATGAGTAAATTAATTCCAATTTTGATTTTATAGATCAGTACAAATGTTAGTGTGCATCACTCACTGAAGTTAACTCAGGGCACCTGCAACAAGGCCAGGAGATTCTCAAAGGCATTAATTTAAACCCATACACCTGTGGTATTTCAGACTCACAGGGCAGTCTTTCTCCTTTCCAAGTTCCCTGCTTATCAGATATCACAATCCACTGGGTTTTGTTCTTTAAGATTTGCTTTTCAGGCCAAGACATGATGAATGACTTCATTAACCACTAACGCTACATGGCTGAGTAACTCTGACCTCCTTGACACAGGAAAACGGTCTTGTCTCCTTGCCTCTAAAATCCCTACCTACTTAAAAATAAATATAATCTAGTATGATTAGAGACAAGTGACTTTCAGGAGTGTGCCAAGTTGGGTTCAGTCCAACATCTTTCTGCTTTGCAAGCAGAAAGCTTGCAAAGAGGAAAAAGAAAGCTGAGGATGTCTCACATGTACTGCAACACCGTAAACTAGATTTGGACGTGTTTCTGAAGACATGTCACTTGAGATGTTTTAAAACAAAGCAATACTTTTTCTTCCAGTGTGGAAAGGACTTACATCCCACTGTTAACATTACTCTTTTCCACTCTGGAAAACACAAGTTTGTTGTATGGAAGTACTCTTGTCTGGCTGGACCCATGATCCCTTCTCTTACATCTTTGCAGGTGCTTTGAACTAACTTTTCAGGAGTGCATTCGGGAGGTGTTACACAGCAATCAGATGCTGGGATTGCTGCGCTGCTTCTCCTGCCCCCGCGGCAGCCGTAAGGACAGCCTCGGAAAGAATAACTAGCCAAAGAAACAAGAAATGAGCACAGTGCAAAGATTCAAGTGGTTGAACCTACCTTCTGGGAGATGCAACACTGCAAAGAGGAGGGGTGAAGTGGGTATGGAATTGACAGAAGGAGAACGTGTAAGGAGAAAAAAAAAAATATAGCAAAGATCAGTGATTTCCTACATCCATGACAAAGTGAAGGAAAGGAGCCTGGAGAGAAACAAACAAAGTGAGGTTTGATTCGAATCACCAAGCACGAGGAAAAACAGACAGACAGGTTAAAATATTTCCTATTTCTAGGTTCCTCCCCCCCTCCCCCCACCCTTTCCTGCTATCTGCTTGTAGAATGAACAATTCATCATTTCCTTGCACAGGGCAAACACATCTGGACAAGAGAACTCACATCTAATCAAGCACCAGTGATGATCTGAACTCTACCCAATGTGATGTTCCAGGGGCTAAAGGCCTTGTTAATATTTAAGACTAACAGAGTCTCTTCCAAAACATGAGCAAAATAAAGTACAAGCTAATTGTAAACCAAACTGTGAGTCTGAAAATAAACTGTTAGAAAAGAGTTGAGGGAGCTATACATGTATTTAGGCACATGGAAGAGGTTCAGCTGGCATTTACATTATTTTATAGGCTGAAGTCTGCTACATATATATCCCCATACATATGGTATCTTCTTGCAACCACTGTAACTAACTCAGCAACACAATTGGCTGGAAGATCCTGATATATCAGTAGTTGGTACCTTTTAATTTTTGAAGAGTTAGAGAAAATGAAACTGTCCCTCCAGCATACCAAGTTCCAGATATCACTCACTGACCCCAGTGGATTTCCAGAAGTCATCCTCCCTTCAGAGGTCAGGACAGCTGATAAACTGTTCAACACTTCAACTTAGATTTCAAAAACAACTGGGAGAAGTATTCTGCAGTCACAGAAGGCCTTGGGAGAACCAGAACATCTCTACAGCACCAGCTTTTACCAGCATGTACATTTGCACTTGGCAAGATGGTGATTTTGTTTAGATTAATGCATTGCTGCCTCTCCTATCTACACAGAGATGTCTTTTGGCAGTGTTGTTTATTATCATGTCTTTTACTATCACACTGGAGCAGGACTTCATTTACTGGTTTCACAGCTGTTTTTTCCTCTCCTCATTTCTGAAAAGAAATTCTAATAATGCAATCACCTTTTGAATCACTATCCTCATTCTTCTCTTCCATGGTTCTTTCAAAATCATTATTTCTAATGGTACAGGAGCCTGTCACAAAATAGGACAACTCCTACCTATGATTAATATACTCTGGACTTCCAGCAGGCCTGCAGCCAAGCTAATTTTCAAAGTAACCTGTAAGTAAGACTTACTTCTTCCTTGCTCTATTAAAATAACTCCCCAGTTAAGCAAAATGTTCCCAGCTGACAAGAGTGTTTGCCTACTTACAGTGCAGAAGCTGCTGAATTCACAGTCCTGGGCAGCATGAAATTGACATTTTATGCAAATAATCTCATATTTAAAAATTAATTTTCACATTTGTGGGGTACTTTTCCTCTGAGTACATTATCAGTGTTTCCCCCAGCTTTGCTAAAACATCCTTTAGTTTAAAAACAGCTTGTGAAAGACACTTCTGAGATACAATACTTGCAATTAACATGTACCTGTAAGAAGCAATTACAAATGAATCACTAAGTTATAAGAAAGTGTTTCGTTTCTCTTGTATCACAACATTTCAGTTACACTTCTCGTTACAATCCATAATAGTAACACTTAATTTTGGGGCTGCTGATTCTTCTGCAGAGACCAAAGATCAACAGGTACACCAGCACACATTGTGTCCCCAGCAGTCACCCAGGCCTGAGTGATTGACTGCTCACCATGCTGAGCAGTGTCCCGAGGTCCCTCGGGCTGCCTGCATCGAGAGCCCTACCTCTTCTGTTTGACTGTGATGCCCTTCTGCTGCAAAGCCTTCTCATTGGCCATCTGCAGAAGCTGGATCTCCTTCCGTGAGAAAAGGCGGATAGCAAAGGCCTTTTCCAGAAGCTTCTCTGGAGGCACTGAATTGGCAATGTCCCTTATGAATGCTCGGATGTCCTGCTGTATGCTGTCAGACTTCATGGGCTGCCTAGCTCTGACTTTGCGAAAAAACTTTAGAAGAGCCAGTGCCACGCGATAGAGAACTTTGTAGCCCTCCACCAGTAACACATCAAAGACCCGAGCGATATACACCATGGGCAGCTCTCCGAAGAGCCACCGCTGCCAGTCGGAGTACACCTCCAGCACATCCTCGGACACTGCCACCATCAGCTTATGCGCCGCCTGACAGTACTTGTTTGCCAGGTCTCCAAAGGTCATGCAGGATGACTCAAAAGCCAAGAATGTCTGGTCAATGAGCCGCTTGGATGGGTCATTGCAAGCAAGGATACGACAAACCTGCTCAAAGCACTCGGCCTCGTCCTTGCTGTAGTGCAGGAGCAAAGCGACCACTGAGGGCAGCGCTGGGCAAAATGAGATGTCTGGGAACTGATTCGCGATGCACAATATGATCTTCCTGACTGCTCCGATACCTTCTGCGTTCAAGCAGTATGTGGGGACCAGGCTGTCATCCACAAACTCCGGCAACGGAAGGGAGCTACTGCTGCGCTTCCCAGCGATCTTCACCACAATGTCTCGGTACACGTTTGCATCTGGGGTGACTGTACGGCATGGGATATTGCTGATCAGCTTGTGGTACACTTTGGCTCTCAAGGAGTGGTTCTTGGCCCAGTAGCCTTGGCGGGCCAGCTGTTTGAGCTCCGGGAGCTCAGGGCAGGTCAGCTCCTTCGCATCCTGGCTCTGCAAAGAACTGTCCATCTTGTCCCAGTCCACAAAGCGGCTGTATTCATCCATGGCTCCAGGAGAAGCAAGTCAGAACTCATGAGAATGGAGATGCTATCTAGTCATCAAACGACTTGCAGCTTTTGCTGCAGAAGTGAAAAGAAAAGAGAGAGGTTTGACTAACAGGTAATCCTCCCACTTTCTTTAGGAGTACACACACACATTTAACTTGTTCCTGCAATGCCAAAACTGTTGCAAAGAAAGTTAAAGATACAAAATACCTATTGTAAAGTCTGTTCATTTTGCAATTGCTCCTCCTAATTCTGTGGGGAAGTAACTGTTACTTGTAGTACAAGGATGCAGTCTCATGAGCAGCTTTCACTGTCTTAAGATGGTTTGGCTGGTGCCAAGAAACACTGACCCCCCGCTAGCCACAGCCACATGTTCTCGGCCATTTATTCATGCTGGTGCTAGCATTTGTGTGGCCACACAGTCACCGAGATGAGCTTGTCAATCTGGCTCAGTTTTTCTTTGGCGTTGGATAAGATGCATAGCTGTCTGGTCAGCCAGATCATGGCATCTTCCTTCTGACTGCTTACAAACGTGACTGAAAAAAACCCTCAGTTACATCTTTCCGGAAAATCCTAGCACTGAGGGTTTAAGAAATAAGTACACAGCCTTTCAAATGGAAGGCTCCTAGACCTATTTATATCAATACAGAAACCAAAGATACCCAAACCTGAATACTTTAGGAAAGAGTTAAAAATGAACCACAGCGTTCAAGGCCAAGATGGTCGGGGGCTTGGAGCAAGCTGGTCTAGTGGAAGGTGTCCCTGCCCATGGCAGGGGGTTGGAACTGGATGAGCTTTAAGGTCCCTCCCAATCTGTGATTCTATGAAGCAGACCACCCTTTCTGACTGTAGTACAGGCTCGAGTCAGCTTAAAACAGCTTCATGAAACTGCTTCTGGTCCTGCGCTTGCACACACTCTGATCAAGTGACCCTCTAGAGGGCCTGCCACCACCACAATTAGATCTTACAGATTCACACCTCTGCAATAGCCCCAGCAGCTGAAAGATCAGGTTCTGGCCTCCAGTTCCTCAAACCACATGTTTACATGATCTCCCAGCTGACTACAGCTTAAAGTACACCTGTGCCCAGCAGACAGCAGGACTGCAACCACTAATGACCATGAATGAGCTTTAACCAAGTCAGTGCAAAGCTAGAAAGGAGATACAATAAAAATGAATGAATAACAGCAGGCAGTGGGTTTATGCACTGCTGGAACATCTATGCCAACGTGTCCTCAGAGCCAGAGTAAAGCTGGGAAACACATGGCAGCCGGTGCTGCACCCTGCAAAGGCAGAGAATCCCTATAAACCACAACCAGCCTATAAAACTGTTTTGTGCAATTAAGACATTATATAGCAAGGTTAAATAAAAAAACCACTCCAAAGAACCTTTAGTTATTCTTGTATCAACAGACTGCAGAATGCATGGACTTGACATTGATCAGCCTGGTCTTTCATACAAGTGCATTAGAATGGCTTAAAACTCATAAGGTAAATATACCATCAAGACAGACAGGTCATTCTTCCTATTTCATTGCAGGGGATTAAAACAAACATTTTGTCTGAAGAAGACAGAAGTTCATACATATACAATTAGCATTAGCTTGGATGGTCATACATTTAATCCAGACAGTTTTAGATTCTGACTAAATATTAACCTGGGTATTTTGGAATTACATGCTGAAACTCCAGAATTTAACTCATCATTTAAAAGATTGGCAGCAACACACATTTCCGGAGACTTCTGAATGGCTCTTCTCTACCAAATACCTACTGTTTCTTTTCTTTTTTTTAATAAAAAAGATTTTTTTTTAGTTCATTTTTGTACAAGTCAAGAGGAACACAGCAATGCTCACCATTTCTTTTTGGTGTATTCCTCCATATCTAAAATTAATTTTCAAACTGCAATTAAAGGAGGCAACACATTGTCCTGACTTCAGTTCTGGAAGCAAGATATCTTAGGATGTTGAGGAATGATGCCCCTCAGTGTAAGCTGAGAGCAGGTCTTCAGGATATGCAGACAGTAACGGCAGGATATCAGTCCTTCGCAGAGTCAGTGTCAGCTCCGTGAAAGTTAACATTCTTCTGTTGTTCTCCACCTGAGAATTATAGGGAAACACATGATTTTGAATTCAAATCTGAGAATAAGATCCTTGTGGGGAAGAGAAATTTAATCCTATTTAGCAGTGGCCAAAGCATGGAGAGATGAACCATTCTGTTCATGGCCACTTCACTATAGAAACCGTTTCTATCCTGTGCTTGCCCGAGTCTCCACTATGCAACAGCTTCCCCCTTCTGCCATCATCCCATGGTAACTGCTTATATTTATATCAAGGAGGCTTAAGAAAAATGTCCATCATACAAGACAACTTCTACCTAACTACCACACACAAAGAGCTGTGGTAAACAGCTCAATGTCCAGTTGGAAAGCAGTAATGAGTGGCGTCCCTTAGGGATCGGTGTTGGGACCTGTGTTGTTTAACATCTTTGTCGGTGACATGGACAGGGGACTGAGGCACTCTCATCAAGTTTGCTGATGACACCAAGCTGTGTGGTTTGGTTGACACACTGGAGGAAAGCGATGGGATCCAGAGGGACCTTGACACACTTGTGAGGTGCGCCAGTGCCAACCTTATGAAGTTTAACCAAGCCAAGTGCAAGGTTCTACACCTGGGTTGGGGCAATCCCAGGCACAGCTACAGGTCGGGCGGAGAAGAGATTCAGAGCAGCCCTGCAAAGGAGGACTTGGGGGTGGTGGTTGATGAGAAGCTTTTACATGAGCTGGCTTCTGTGTGCACTTGCAGCCCAGAACCCACCCGTATCCTGGGCTACATCAAAAGAAGCGTGACCAGCAGGTCAAAGGAGGTGATCCTGCCCCTCTACTCTGCTCTTGTGAGACCCCACTTGGAGTATTGTGTACAGTTCTGGTGTCCTCAACATAAAATGGACATGGAGCTGTTGGAGCAAGTCCAGAGGAGGACCACAACAATAAGGGGGCTGGAGCACCTCCCATATGAAGACAGGCTGAACAGTGCCAACTTCCTCAGCCTGGAGAAGACTGCATGGAGACCTCATAGCAGCCTTCCAGTATCTGAAGGGGGCCTATAAGGATGTGGGGGAGGGACTCTTTCTTAGGGACTGTAGTGGTAGGACAAGGGGTAATGGCTTCAAACTTAAGCAGGGGAAGTTTAGGTTAGATATAAGGAAGAAGTTCTTTACAGTGAGGGTGATGAGGCACTGGAGTGGGTTGCCCAGGGAGGTTGTGAATGCTTCAACCCTGGCAGTGTTCAAGGCCAGGCTGGAC